ATAATATAGTAGGATTAAAAAATTTAGTAGTGATTAGTGAGAATCGAGAAGAAAGAAATATAGTCAAGAGGATGAGGATATTTACAATTGAATAATTGTAATTGCAGTAACAAGATTAATTTTTTCAATTTTTTTTTCGCGGGAGCGGATTAACCGCGGCCTGTGAAGGCGCAACCCGCGAAGCCCTGTGAAAAACTCAGCCCGTGCAATGCAAAGACTAGTAATAGAAAAACCTTCAATTGATGCAACAAAAAATTTCGAAGAATATAATCCTGTGTTGTAGAATTTTGACAAATTTATCCCACATCGGTTCCTGGGGTCTTTGGCAATCATATATAAAGACGCAATGAACGCTTTTGTGAAAGGGCAACTCTAATTTGTAAGGTTGTGTCTAAAAAGAACCGGAATAAGTTTAATCGTCTAATCAATTTAATGTTAACATTACGGCTCAAGCTCAACCACCAGCAACAGCTTGGGGGAGCTCCTTAAAGGTCCAAACCCAAACGTTAAACATGATTATACGTTGAAGTGATAGAATACAGGGGAAGCGTTGTAATGTATATAAAGCAAAAGGATACAAAAACACGGGAATTTCCCATCTTACAAATCAAAATCAAAAGATAGAAAGAGGAAACGGGTCATTCCTCATTGTTTTTTCCTATTTTATGGCAATATTAATTTGGTATGGCTTACAAGGAGTGTAGCCCGACGCACAGGTGAACATAACTATACTATATTCTCAGATATTGGCTTTCAATGTCTGTCCATTTTGCTTACCTTGGATGAATTCATATAGAAAATCTTATATTTCTTTGCTCTCATGCCCCCTCGTAAACATCTACACTTCAGATGACCTATCTATCTACACCTTCAGAAATGCTATTCTCACTACAGTCTGGAATAGCTGAAGATGATGATAAAACTTCCTTTCCCTTGAAGTCAGGTGTTCCAGTATCCATGGTCCTCTTGTCATCTGATGTGTGTAGGAGCTTCAGCTGGAGTTGCAGAAACTGTACCAACATCAGGGTACAAATGGTGAAATTTAGGTAAAACAATATTTCGAACAAGCAAGGGACGTATTGAGTGATATCTATTAACGGCAGCCATTTAATACCTAAAACCTACTTCTAAGTTTTATGTTTTTCATTTTCCAGTTTCAAGCTGTCCTTTACAGATGCCATCAGTCGCTCTCACCTATAGGCATCTAATTTAAAACTGGTTATTTGGTACTTCTATATGAAAGGAGCACATTATTATGTTGTATATTCCTTCACTTTAACCTAACACTAGTAAAGTATCTATATTCAGATATTTGAAGTATGTTCTCTTTCACTGAAACACTGTTTACACGATCTCTCTCTCTCTCTCTCTCTCTCATACACACAAAAAGCACGCTACCATGCATTTTCAAAAAAATTCAGATTTTAGTTGACTGACATATCCTACCAAAACCAGAAGGTTATGAACATGTAATGAAAACTCTGAAGTACATTGGAGATCAACAATAGTTATCAAGGAATATACAACAGTTTCTATACAACTTTTTTTCATTTAACAAAAGAGGATTAGAAAATCTAGAGCTTTAATCACACGTGCCGCAGCCCCACAACCCAGAGGCATATATTTTATCAACAGGTAAATTAAAATTGACACTGATCAAGTTGAAGTCTGCCATCAAGTCATAGCGTCGGAAAAAAAATTTAAGATTCAAATCTGAAACACAAGGAAAATAAAAGAGCAGTACAGCATAGAAACTGAAGTACCTCAATCTGGTGCTCGATGAGTTTCTTCTGTGCATCCAGTTGTGAATTTGGTGCATTAAAATTGCTTCCCAACCCTGCTCCATACTGCACGTTCCCTTCAGGAAGCTGTCCAGCTGAATTTGCCATAAACATAGAGTCCTGATGTGCTAAGGTTTGAGGAGGTAAAGCATATCCAGGTGACCTGCAAGCACAGCGAAGTTTAACGTGTTATGTTGATTTCTCTTAGCATTGTTATTGCCAATGTATGATATCCAGGTTAAGCATATCCAGGTGTGACAAGCAAGCGCAGAGAAATTTAATGCAAACAGCATGATTTCTCCAAGTATAGTTCATGCCTATGTATGAGATCCCAGAATCAAAAACTTTACTACCCGACCTAGAATCAATGAACTAAATAGTTCTGCTTATCATCCTCTCCAGATACTGAAATCTCATCTCTGTAAAAGTTAATTTCCAACAAGAATTTTCTATATTCCAAATGGAAGTTGACATGAACTTAAAGTAATCTATGCACTGAAGTCACCTGACACAAAATAAATAGGAACTTCTATTGTATAAAACAAATTTTATCCCTGCAATTCATGTTAAGCATGCATTTCAAAGACGAAACAACATAAAGAATATGAGAAGCCAAAAAAATTAGAAAGCGCAAGGAAAAAAGAATACCAGACAAGAGTATTTGGAGAAGGATAAACAAAAGACTTCTCATATATTGAGGCAGCAGAAGCAGCCGCTTGGAGTCTAGCCTGATGCCGAGTGATATTAGCATTTGCACCAACTGAGCCATGAGATGTACTGGCTGCGCTTGTACCTGTGTCCTACCAACAAAGTTAGTTTGATGTTTTACACAAGTATGATTACCAGGTCATCAATTTGAAGCAAAACCATCAAACTAAGTGCATGTTTGGCAAAGCTTAAATTATAATTTAAGTTGCTCAAACATAATTTGAAACAAACCATCAAATTAAGTGCATGTTTGGCAAATCTTAAGTTACAATTTAAGTTGGTCAAACATACTTTTATCCACACATTTTGTAAGACCTGCAACTTATAATCACTGTCAAGCATGCTTTAAGCCAACTTCAGCGTGTGTATATCTGACTGTAGCATGCTTTGAATTCAGAAAGGACATAAAAAGCAGAATTATTAGAAATACACAACTACAATTTTCACTTAAATTGAATAGAAAACAAACATGCATCAAAAATAAAAAATAAAAAATAAAAAGCTCAATCACAGGGAATAAATTTTTACCTTGTTGATGAACATCTGTGCTCGATCCAGTCACAGAAGTGCCATTTTCAGGTGGTACAACAAGGGCTCTACAAGTAGGACACGTGTTTTGTCTTTCTAACCAGGACCTCAGGCAGTGCACATGAAAAAGATGCCCGCAAATAAGTTTCTTAGCTGTTGTCATCTCCTCACGACATATGATGCAGGTTGCATCACTTCTGCAAAGATAGCAAATGAATGACAAAGTGATGCGAAGTTTAACAGTAAGAAAAACATAATTCAAAAAGTTTCTAGAAGTAAAAGCAGCTTACACATCAAGCTCTTCAGGTGTTGCATCTGGAAAACGATCATTCATATTTGAAGCGATCTTTCGATAACGCATGTAATCAGCCACGCGAATTTTGAAGTTACGGAATGTCTCGTAAAGCTCCCGGATCAAGTGAAGGGGTACACCGTAGTTCCTGGAGAAGGAAAAGGAAACCAAGGAATAATGACAATGGAAAAGATGGGCATTAAATTACAGAAGAACAATGTGCAGATCAAATTAAAGTGAAGCTTTAACGCTCACGGAAGATAACATAAAACAACCACCTGGACCAATGATCCTAAAACGATCAAAATATAACAAAAAAAATGAAGTGCCAAATTGTGCCACAAATACCTAATGCATTCTCCTCCTCGAATAGGAAAAAGTATGCCTATAAGAAACAAAACTGACCTTAATCCATGACATAACAGCACAATAAAGTTCAGTTCAATTCAATTCTTTGAAGTAATTTATGGAACAAATCCATATTTTTTGATACTACAAGCAAAATCCGACTTCATAAATAGCAGGGCAATATCTAGTTTATACTTGGTCATGCTTAAACACACGAGTACATAGATGTTTGATCTGGTCACATCCAAACCAGTGAATAAAAGATTCCACTCAGAAGAGCAGGGAAAATTTTCAGAACTACACTACTAAAAAGTTTTTCAGATTTATCATCAGAAATCAAAGGTGAAAGCAAGTATTGTAGATGGTGACTGAGCTCAACGGGGAATGAAAAATCGAAATCAGTATTATGTAAATTTTTTGCAACATACAGCTACTAGAACAAGCGAAGACACACACACATACACATACAGGGATACAAATGTTTACATATGTGAATGTATTCATTAAGACAGACAGACAGACAGACACAATAAAATTTCACTTAGGACGTGTAGACCTCCATACTAGCATACATGCATATACACAAACAGCCATGATGCAAATCCATAATCTATTCTCCGAAGTCAGAACCCTTACAAACGCAGTAGAAAAATTAGGCTGAATAGTAACTTACATAAAAATCACGAGGAAGAAACACATGTACATAGTCAAGTGCAGTAAGTCCCTAATAAGCTCCAAGTAAAAAGTGTAGACAGCTTTCTTTTCCCATTGTCCATCCATAAGCATGTCGCTAACATAGAATACATATTTCACAAACGTCGACACAGTTGTCGTTGCCAGTATCATGTATCTGAAAGAAAATGACAATTTTCAAATAACCATAAATGGAAAAGAATTACAAATATTCAGTAAAATGATTAAGAAATAATAAAAACATTCCCTAATCAACTTTTCGGATTGACAAAAAGATCATTCAACACATCAAATCCAGAGTTCAAATTTATAGATTGGAACTTCTAAGAGAGTACTCATCAGCACAGAATTTTTGAAATGTCAAGTGTTATATAGATTCATGTCAGGAATTTAAGTTCATATCACCCATCAATTTGAAGAGCTTTTAAAGGCAATGTTAATCATGCATAATAGAAAAAGAACCGTGTTTGCATTAGCTGGTCCACATGACGAGTTAAATTAAAAACAACTAAACATCTCGCCTACCAGCCTGCTATTGTGTATATCTTTGTTCGTGTATTTATTTATCTTTGTGGTGGTGAAGAGGATGAAGGAAGTTATGGCGAGAAAACCTTAAAGCAGTTCCAAAAACAAGGTAATCAGACTACATTCAGCTATTCTTTACTAAGAAGCACAGACACGGATACGTAATTCGGATATGATACGATACGGATACGCCGATACGACTTTTTTGATAATTTTATTAATATAAAAAAATATTAATACAGAAGCACGATAATAAAAATAAAATAAAATACTAAAGCACTTTATCTTAATCATTAATTGTCGGAACTTCATTTTCTTCAACACCATTTCTTCATTATCATTAAAAATAACACTCTATAGCTCTGGTTCATCTAATGATATATTAAATAACCTCAAGCAGTCCAACACCTTCAAGAGTATCAAATGAATCTTTGGTAATGTCCCACATTTTGGATTCTCCTTTTGAATAAAGATCAAATTGTATTGATAAAAGATGCTGATTGCTATGAATGAAAATCAATTCTTCGTTTCGTTGTATAGTTATTTTATTCCTTCTCGTAAAGTGCATAAAAGAGTATGTACTCCAATTTCTTTTAGCGCTAGACGAAGAAGAAGGTTTCACAAGAAATTTCAAATCAATGTTTTGTAGTAAAGGTACAAATGAACAATGACGTATCGGATACGTATCGAAAATCATACAAAAATATAAAAATAATTAAAAAATATGTATCGGATACGTATCGAAAATTTAAAAAATATTAAAATATATAAAATAATTAAAAAAAAAGTATCAGGTACGTATCGGAGGGTATCCGAGCTTGGATACATATCATATACGGGTACATAATAAGTTTACAAGTATAGGTGCTTCTTAGATTTTTAAACTTTAATTGGCAAGCTCTGTTACAAGACACTACTAAGCAGATGATAATCAGTAAGTTGAGAGTTGCGCGAAATGAAAATGTAGGAGAAGCCTTTCAAAATTTCCAAGCAGTGTCAACCGCAAAAGCTATTATACTTCTCCATTCACGAAGTATTCTTGGCAAAATTGAGATAAAGGGGTGAAAAGGAAACCAAAGAGAATGTAGCCAATGCCGCAAAATGACACTATAATCTTATTGGAACTTGTAAATAACCAGTCTGAAGAAGTAATTCTAAATCTTGTTAACAAGAGTAAATCATGCATTTGTTTTACAAATATAAGTAAAGAACCAAACAGTAAAAGGGGAAAAAATAAAGAACCATTTTTACTCCCCTCATTCAGTTGAAAGACTTCAATTTATTCTTGAAAGCAGTGTGCCTAGTTACTAATGCCGTATGTTAACAATACAACATAACCAGTTATAAATCAAAAGAATGGAAACTTACTCAAATGCGAAGAAGAGAGAAACTGAAGGTTGTCGGGTTTCTATCAAATATTTTACAGACTCGTACAGAAAGAGACTGTCAATAAGGAGGAGAAATCCCATGAAAGAGACGATGCGGATGTGAGAAAGCTTAGGAACAGAAGGAGTTGTTTCGATGTATTCAACCCTTTTCTGAGCCAACCAATGCAAAGCCTTGATCAAGAGTAGAGTGGTAACCATTGCAAGAAATGTAACTGAGAAGTCCTGTCGGAAAATGGTGATTGCAAACAGTATCTCCATAACTTCCCTCCATGACTGCTCATTCAGCCTTTCAACTTCTGCTTCTCGCAGCGATCCAAGGAAGATTTTCTTTGCTAATTGCCACAAAATGCACATAATAACCAGACCCATATTCAAAAGAAGCACCAGACTGATCTTGGAAGTCGATAAATAAACCATTGCTGGATAGAATTGACCTCTACTACTAAAGGCGTGATAGATAACTGCCAGTGTAGCTATTAAGCTAAGCCCCGCATAAGTTTTAAGCCTCATCATTTTAACTGTTTCCCTGTCAGACAACATCCAGTCAATTAACTTCATCAGTGAATTTTGAAAAATAAGCAAACAATCATGGCTATTAAGCTAAGACCAAACCAGGTTTGTAACGCTATGGTCTTAGCTTTCAAAAAATTTAAGATGCACAAATAGGTCCTTTGTGTATTATATGTAGTCAACCCTCTTCTTGTTAATATCTTATAAACTATAATTTTCTAAAAGACCATAATTGTTTCTTTTAGTATCAGGCTGCAAACGTATTTGCTAAGCTAAATGCATAAATGTTTTCTTTTGCCAAGTCCAAGAAGCAAACTTCCTCTCACTCGAAATCTTATATTATAAATTATAAGTCCTGTCAAATGTATGTGCCCCTTTTCTCCAACTCCAACTATTAAGACTAAGTTATTAAATCAAACTAAAATGATTTTTTTTTTTATTCTTGTTAGTATGAACTACAACAAAAAACTTTATTGTATTGCATCACATGTGAATTAAAAAGGTAATGAGAAAAAATGTTCGCAAAGTCATCAATCAACAAATTTTGCATATTTATACCGTAGAACATATAAAACGGCTTCAGCGATTTGATTCTATTTTGAGTAATAAATTGAATAATTAACAATATTCTTTACATGTATCAAAAGAAAACAATAAAACCCTTGGTTTGCTTAATTGATTCCATCAATTTGAGAACCCAAATATCACTAACAAATAATTTTCAAAATCTAAAAACTTTTTAAGTAGATCATAACAAATCGCTTAAATCAATTGCATTTACAAGGGCTTGTAAATACAAAGTTTCGTAATAATTACCTCTGGAATTTGAATTTCCGTTCTTGTCAGAACTCCTGCTGTTTGTCAAGAAGAGTCCCAAAATAGCACAGTGAATTTAATTAAATTTAGGAAAGAATTTTGCATTATAAGCGGTAGGTCGAAGAATCAGAGTAGATGTGGGTATTATCGCGTATACTATGTGCGTCATACGAGGATAATTTACCCAATAATTTCACGCCACGTGCACACAGGACCCGACTTGACCTTGTAATTATATCGAGGGAATTTAGCAAAAAAGGTCCCTAATCTATATCCTCTTTGCGACTTTGGTCCGAAAACCTTTTTTGCTTTCCTCAGACGTCCTCAACTTATTCTTTACGTTCGAAAATTGTCCTTTTTAACAGATTCGTCTAGAATTGAAAGTCAAATCTTCAATAAAAAAACTACAATGCACTTGTCACACTTGGGTCCCTCATATTTATTAACAAACAATTAAAGAAACGAAAAAGAAAAAGAACTGAAAAACAAAAGAAAATATCTCGCGTCACAACTACGTCCTCCAACACCCATCACGACTACCAAAATCCCTCATAGAAAATAGAAAAGAAAACAAAAAAGACGGATATTGTAACCTCAAAATTTGTGCCATTCTTCTATATTAATATCAATTAACTTTCAATCATGCTACGTATGGAAAAATTTGATAGAAAATCTTGATAGACAACACATGATGGGAATTGATTGAAAGGTGAAAAGAAAAAAGATAACAATCCAATAATTTGCCGCCACATCAGCGTCGGTAGAAATTCTGTCAAGAATTCCATGTACGAGAGGTTAGTTCACACATTAAACGAGAAGTTATTGAGATCGACTTCGAGCATTAAGGAAATAAAAAAAAGGTTAATAAACCCATTTTGAACTGTATTTTGATCGTTTTATTTCAGACACTTCATAGCACCAAGTCTTTCAAAAAAAGGTTATTCGTTCAGAGTGCAAGAGAGAAAGATGAAGAACACAGAGAAAGAGAGTGTTTGAATGAAGAGAGAATGAAAATTCATCCTAATCCAAACCCTAAACCGAGAGTAATATGGAAGTCACCAGAAGGTCATCTAATCCAACGGCTATTAGGCGTCACTTGGTGACATCACATGCAATGAATCCATTTGTAAAAACGAATCAGTTAACGCATGATTTTACAAGAATGAAACAACAGCCACTAAGTAATAAAAACCCGATCCTATCAGCCCAACAAAACAATCAAGACCCTATCAGCCCAACAAAACAATCAGCAATTTGGTAACATCATTGTGCCATTACTTCATAATCTCCACATTGGTACAATGATTCCAGTTTTACTTATAGTGATTCCTCCAAACATGGCATAATTTGCTCTTATTCTTGATACACAAATCAGCAAGTGTGAATATTCGGCTGACTTAAACAGTCCAGAAACTTGTTTAAAGGCAACACTTTAGTACCAACATCAACATGATTCAAAAAAGTAGAAATCTTTTCAAGTTTTACAGCATTTTTTACTAAGACTTAGTGGGCCCTCTCTTCTATTCCTTTTAATTTTAATATCTAAAATCTTTCTAATAGGACCTAAGTCATTCATCTCAAATTCCGATTTCAATTTATTTTTATTAACTCTATCTCTTCTATGTCATGAGTAGCCAAGAGCTGGTCATCAACATAAAAAAGAAGATAGAGTGAATTCTATCCTTCACTTCCTTTGCAATAAAGGCAGGTATCAACATTACTCCTTTTAAAATCAAGTCCAAACACAAAAGTATCAAATCTCTTGTATCATTATCTTGGAGTTTGTTTTAAACTATATAAAGACTTTTTAAGAAGGCATACTAAGTCTGAATTTCTGTTTACTTCAAAAATTTTGGGTTGTTCCATTTAAATAGTTTCATCAAGATTACCATTTAAAAATGCAGTTTTTACATCCAATTAATCCAATTCTCAGTTAAACTGAGCTGCTAAGGCCAAAACTTTAGCCACAAGTTTAACTTTGTATCTAATNCCCACCCCCCCCCGCCCCCCCCCCCCCCCCCCCCCCCCCCCCCCCCCCCCCCCCTCCCCCCCCCCCCCCCCTTTTATTTTAAAAATCCATTTACAGTCAACAACTTTTTTTCCTTCAAATCTTTTAGTCAAAATTCATGTTTTATTTCTTTTGAGAGATTTCATTTCATCTTGCATTGCTTCAAGTCAATGTTTGTAATCTTTACTATTCATAGCTTCTTTGAAGGATTCAGGTTTATTTTCAATGAACCCTTGAAAGGTCAGAAAAGAAACTTCATCATCAAACCTAACATGTGGTTTTATTTGTTTTCTTTGCCTATCTCTAGCAAGTTGATAATCATCTAAAGGTTGATTTGTTTCCAAATCAGCTTCAGATTGTTTAGAACCTTCATTACTATGAATCTCAACATTATCATTTTCAGTTTGAACATTAGATTGTTGATTATCAACATTGACCTGCTCTACCTCAATTTCGGTCTCTCTCTACACTATCAGTCTGACTCAAAGGAATTGTGCTATTCTCATTTTTCAAATAAGGTAGATCATTTGCATTAAACACAACATTTCTTCTTGTAATGATCTTATATCATTTTGTTTCCCTTACCCATAGTTTATACCCTTTCACTCATTCACCATAGCCTAAAAACACACACTTAAGTGCTCTTGGATCTAATTTTCCTTCAAATTTATGTGCAAAAGCTGCACACCTAAAGACTCTCAAGCTACTTAAGTCAATATGCTTTCCATTCCACATGTCTTCAAGATTTTTAAAGCGTATGGCACTAGCAAGACTTCTATTAATAAGATAACTTGCATTTTTTGCACCTTCCCCCCAAAATAGATTGGGAAGATCTTTGGTCCAAATTATTAAGAGTATAAAACGAATCAAATCGAATGGATCTCAATAACAAAATACAGATTAAATGAAAAATGCAAACATTGTTAAATTTTATAAGTCGGTGAGCATTAAATCAAAAAAGAAAAGAGAGAGTGTATGTCCGAGTCAATGTATGATACATATTATAGAGAAAGGGATAGAATATTGGGATCTTCAATAGAAAA